GGCGGACGACAAGGACACTTTGTCCTCCCATGCAACTGTTTGCCTTCAGTTCCTACAACATCACAGTTGGAGGATCAATGTCAAAAAGAGCCTTCTCTGCCCGAGTCAGTCCATGACATACCTGGGTGCTCTGTTCAACACTTCAACGGGGACGGTTCAACTCTCCCCAGAGAGGATCCTGACAATACAGAAACAGGTTGTGGAGATACTGGCATGCAAGGTGACTTCAGCGAAGAAGGTGATGAGTCGCCTGGGTTCCATGTCCTCCACGATAGGACTGACAAGGTGGGCACAATGGAGAATGAGGAGCTTTCAGGTGAACTCCTTTTGCCAAAGGAGTTAATTCACTTTTGTTTCTGTCAATGCAGCCATAGCCACACCTCCCCTGCCTGTGACTCACACAGCCTACATGAAAAATATGAGAAATCAGATCTTTAGAAGTTTTTACTTTGACAGCCAACCCCAGTGGCAAGCAGTGATGAAATATAGCATGATGACCAACTCTATGCACTCAAAAGATACCATATCATTGGGGTTTCTCTACTAAAATACTGGTGATAAGGAATGGGACTGTAACACAATCAAGACGGTGGAAGAGGGACAGAAGACCTTGCAAGACTGGGACATATATATTCAGGTCCCTATATTACCTTCTGCATCATAACCCAAGAGACTATTCCCAGAGTGGCAAAACATCCCTTAAACCGCACTAAACAACACAGATAAATGAAGCCAAGTGGAGTGTCTCATACCACAGGGTAATGTAAACTTGTTCCATATACAGTTATGCAGAAAGTTAAATTGTTATAATGCCTAAAGTTAAGCATATGTGTTTCAGATAGTAAGAGTCACTAATGCTCAATAATCGTTAAGTTCACAACTAGACAAACATCTCTACAATTGTATGCTCTTATATGTACCAGCTAAACCTAGCGTATGTCAGGTTGCTAATCCAAATTTATAAGTTTATAAAAAAAAAAAAAAAATGTATAATGGCAAGGGACTAGGTTCCCTAAACAAGAGCTATATCAAGAGGTCTGTGCAAGTTAAAAAGTAGTTCTTATTGTTTATAAAACAGTGTGCAGTTAGTGCAGTATGCCATCGTCAGGTGACTGCTAGATCAGACACTGGTGTTGACTGCTACTCCCATGACCCCAGGCAGTTGCCTAGGCCCCCCTCGGTGGACAGTAATTGGGCTATTCTGTTTGTAAATATTTTGGTTTCTTTATATACTTTGGTTTATGTTTTTTGCAATTTTCCTTTTCCACCCCTTCCCTATGACTCCCACTTTCACACTTCTGAAACAGGATTGGGAGAGGAGCTTCGAACATCAGACAGCTCACATCCCCTTTGACACTTTATGAAAATAGTCACATACAACGTTAAGGGGTAAAATACCCAACATAAATGCAACCTTCTATACAAAGACCAAATGGCAAAGTGACATAGTGTGCCACCAAGAGACACATTTTAATAAACAACCACCTCAATCTTTTTTTTCAAAAAAATATACCAGACAGTTTCACTCCACTGCCCATATCAAAGCAAAGGGGGTGTCCATTCTACTTAGTGATAATGTAGAGTTCACTCTCTTGCATAAACTCAGATTCTAAAGGTAGATTCCTAATTTTGGTCTGCAATATAAATGAGGTCACATATACTATAATGAATGTTTACTTCCCCAACTCCAACCAGACCCACTTTCTTGATATGCTATGTAATAAAATTGATAGGGTCAAACAAGCAAAATCGATGCTGTGTGGGGATTTTAACTTTATAGCAGAACCTACTGTTGACTCATCAGTTCAATTTACAAAAAAAAAATGGCTGAAGACGCTGCAAGGTTCCTGCAGGTCTCTGAGATGCAGAATTCAATTTCATAATGTGGCGCACACTGCATGAGTGCAAACGTGACTACACGTTCCACTCAGCAGTCCATATTTCATATACGAGACTGGACCGATTTTATACTTCCCTACAGACCTAACAGAAATAGAAAAATGTGTAATTACATGGACAGACCATGCGCCAGTTTTAATACACCTAAGAGATGCCTATACATATACAGGGGAGGGCTTCTGGAGGTTAAACAAATCTTTGCTCCAAGATATACATTTTGTAAAGAGCGTCTGAGTAGAACTGAAAGAATAATTTACTAGAAACGACACCACTGAGACATCCTTAGACAACTTGTGGTTAGCTCACAAAGCCATGATTAGCGGAATTTTTATTAGAAGAGTGACTTACTTCAAATGTAAACGAGAATCACAAATGTCAGACTGGCTCAACAGACTAGCAGTTGTTAGCTAATATGCTCAAACACAGACAAGCAAAACAGTGCATCTCCCCCCTACGCATAAATAACACTACATCGGTACTACATCGGCTACAAACCTCAGGACATTAGCGAGAATTTCTCAATATTTTATAAGACCCTTTACAACATACAAGCAGACCACTCAAATGAACAACCCTCTGGGGACTGATTACAGGAGTTTCTAGGACAGGTTTCCCTTTCCCAAAGTGACCAATCGGCAGCATTGACTTCAGCTGTCTCTACTGAAGATATCCTTAAGACGATATCAGGTTAACCATCCCCACAAAGCGCCAAGACCAGATGGCCTCACAACTAAATATATACCTTGTTTTTGGGGATATCCTAGAACCGTTTCTGACTAAACTATTCAACTCCACTAAGGGCCTATCATTAGCTAACATTATCACCCTATCTAAACCGGGAAAACAACCTAATGAATGCAAAAACTTTAGGCCTATATCTCTCCTGAATGTAGATGCCTAAATATATGACAAACTGCTGGCAACTAGATTATCACTGGTTTTGCCATCCCTGATTGGAGTGGACCAGGTGGTGTTTGTGGCTGGGCACCAAGGGGCAGATAACTCGTGCATAGTGGTTGACCTGTTGTGTCACGTGAAAGGTACTGGGACTAGGGCAACCTGCTCTCGCTCGCCACGGAGAAAGTGTTTGACCGGCTAGGCTGGGTGTTCTTGGTCTCGGCCCTCAAGGAGTTTGATATCCCACCACACTTTATTTCTAAGATTATGGCCCTCTACAAAGAACCAACAGCGGTGGTGTCTACTGGAGGATTTACATCTACTAGATTTAACCTCATAAACGGTACAAGGCAGGGTTGCCCCCTGTCGCCACTTATATACATCCTGTTGTTGGCAGAACTCATCCGAACCACACCCAGCATACACGGAGTCAAAATAGGTGATGTTGACGCATCCACTTACTTCAGTCCCAGCGGTCCATAAGGTGCTAATGGACTATGGTATCAAATCAAAGTATCAAGCCATGGGAATTAATGTATGTGGGGAAGACGTGTGTATGTGGGTGAAGAGATCATGTGTGTGAGGGGTGCACTGTGTGTGTATGCAAAGGTGTACTCTGTGTTGGTGGGAGTGTACTGTATGTGGGGGATTCACTGTCTGTGAGGGTGTGTAGAGAGTGGGACAGTGAAGAGCTTTACAATTTTTACTATAATAATTGATAAAAAAAAAAAAAAAAGAATATTCCTCTTTCCCTCATCTTACCTTGCAGGGAAGGGGTGGCACAATCAAATCCATGGTGGTTGAGAAGGCTGCCTATCCATTGGGTACAGGGGAGGTCACAGGATGAGAGTTCTGTCTCTTGGAGCTCAAGCACTTACAGAGACTCACCCATACAAACCCAGACTGACCCATACAAACTCATAGACACACACTCTGCCCCCCACACACAGACTGACCCATACACGCACACAGACTGCTCGCTTATACAGACGGACCCATACATACACAGACTGACCCTCCCCACACACACTCACTGACCCATACACACACACATTTTTGCCGCCCTAGGCAAAAGAAAGATTTGCCGCCCCCCCTTCCACCCACCCCCCAGTGACATCGCAATGCCCCACCCATATGATCCGCCATATGAACTAACGCCAGTACTGCACACAGTGTGTGTTTACATTAAAAAGCCTGCAGGGACAAACTATAGACACCAGAACCACTTTACTAAGCTGGACTATACTGTCCCTTTAATGTGATGTAAATTAGATTAGTGTCACTAATAATATACTAGATTGCCTACTTACAAACAGATGAGGATGGTGATGGGCTCTGGCTGCAGTCTGGCTCCACTGGTCTGGTGTAGAACAGGATCTCTGGAGGCTGTTTGTAACTGTGGTCACAAAATTCAATGTTCTGGGAGAACGGGAAGCAGCTCCATTTTTTTGGGGCCCCTTAAACAGCTCAAGGTCTGGGCCCCAGGGCCTGATGGTGAGTATGCCCATAAGGCCCACCCATAAGTCCACCTACATGTTCCACCCATGAGTTCGCTCACAGGGAGTGGAGTGTGTAGGGGATGTGTTATGTGTTGCTGTAGAGTATCTAATGTATGTGCTTATGGAATGTAGTGTATAGGGATACCAGTTTGTGTAGGTGATGCAGTGTGTTTTTGTGTAAGGTATAGAAAGAAGTGAGTGTTTGTGTATAAGGGATGTATTGTGTGTTTCTTGTTGTGTGTAAGGGATGCATTGTCTGAATCTGTGTTTGTATGCATAAGGGATGCAAAGTGTGTTTCTGTGTATGTAAGGGATGCAGTGTGTGTCTGTAAGGGGTGCGTTGAGTGTGTGTAAGAGATGCATTGTGTTTCTGTGTGTTTTAGAGAAGCAGTGTGTGTTTGCATGTGTGTGTAAGGGATGCATTTTGTGTTTCTGTGTATATGTGCAAAGGATGCATTGTCTTTATGTGTAATGGTTGCATTGTGTGTGTGTGTGTGTGTGTAATGGATGCATTGTGTATTTCTCTGTGTGTAAGGGAAGCATGTTGTGTTTCTGTGTGTATAGGGATGCATTGTGTGTGTGTGCGTAGTGTGAAAGAGCTCCCTGTTCTGCCCCCTGTCCTATAGAGCTCTCCCTTCCATCCCGTAGAGATCTCCCCTGCCCCTTAGTGGTCTCTCCTCTCCTCTGCCCCCCTTTCTATTAGTGGTCTCTTCTCTCCCCCCCTCCTTTAGCGGTCTCTCCTCACCCCCCTCCCCTAGTGGTCTCTACACCACCCCGTCCCTCCCCCATGTTCTCCTCAATCCCCCTCCCTGTGTTCTCCTCTTCTTCTCCCCCCGTGTTCTCCTCTTCCTTCCCCCTCCCTGTGTTCTCCTCTTCTTTCCCCTCTCCATGTGTTCTCCTGTTCTCCCCCTCCGTGTTCTCCTCTTCTTCCCCCTCCCTGTAATCTTCTCCCCTCCCCCCTGTAATTTTTTCTTCTTCTCCCCCCTTCCCTCCCTGTAATCTCTTCTCCCCCGTAATCTTCTCTTCTTCTCCCTCCCTGTAATCTTCTCTCCCCCCTTTAATCTTCTCTTCTTCTCCCCTCCCTGTAATCTTCTCTCCCCCTCCTGTAATCTTCTCCACTCCCCCTCCATAATCCATCTCCACTCCCCTCCTCCCTCCATCTTCTCCACTCCCCCCTCCCTCCCATCTTCTCCACTCCCATCCCTCTCCCTCCCTCCGTTTAATCTTCTCCCTCCCCCTTTAGCTTCAAGCTTTTCCACTCACCCCTCCCTTTAATCTTTTCCACTCCCCCCTCCCTCCCTGTAATCTTCTCTACTCCCCCCCTCCAATCCCCGTCCCTCCTTGTAATCTTCTCCTCACCTCCCCTTCCCTGTAGCGTGGCCGAGCTCCTCTCCGGTCCACGACACGGCCGGACTGACAGGAAGTGCACACTCAGTGTGCACTTCCTGTCAGTCCGGCCGGGTCGCGGACCGGAGAGGAGCTCGGCCACGCTACAGGGAAGGGGAGGTGAGGCAGTGCGGGAGCCGTCTGAGCACTCTTTTTTGATCTGGCTATCTGTGGGTATGGGGTTTTGGTCTCTTTATTATCTTTTCACATAGGGACTATTTATATTTATATATCAATACATACTTGTTTGTACCTTTACATTTAGTCTCTATTATTTGTAGCTCTGTCAATATAATTTTCCTCTTTTCCGTCTGGTATATCTACTTTTTATAACCATTTTTCAGCTGGCTGATATTGCTTTAGCTGACAGGCACCAGAGTTTCTATTGACAAATGGGAATGTTTCCCCTTTTTAGACACTGTGTTATGTTATAATGGAAACACTGTATTTCTATTTAGATTTTGTTACATTTACTATCAATATAGATTGTGTTCTCCTTGAGCCAAGTCTTTTGAGTGTATCCTTATGCTAACTGGCAGCTTTTGTCACTTTACAAATACATAACTAAGTGCTCATTTGAGGGTATTGTGTTGATAGTTTGCCTTCTGGGAAATGTGCTATTACATCACAACTTTACTCACTAGACTTTTGAATTATATCTTATACATTGCTATTTGGCTATATAGACACATATTTACATATCAAAGCACTGGTCCTCTAGCTATAGATATACATTGACTTATCTTGATAGGATCTGACTGCTCTTTAGCCTCCATTGTGGATTAATGCCAGCAAATTTCCATTAGATTTCCCCATTTAACCACGAATACACTTTGCACGGTTTCTTTTCACTTTTTTCTTCTTATTTTTTTTTCAGTCGTATGACGCAATAAAGGTTACGTTTAATTGATTTATTATTACTCATTTTGTATTACTTGTCATTATCTTGAGCTATACACTATATTTGGGTAAGATCTGCACCTGTGCGGTGGTGTGGGGCACCAAGATTAGGTCTAGTGGCCCCTCTCCATATCGCACAGTTACGCAGTACTTGTTTGTCTTCTGTGCTCTACAACCAATAAATAGTAAATCACATAATGAAACACTCCCATTCATTACACACAATTCCTCCCCTCTGCTTAGGAGATAATTGGGTTAATTACTCTATCAACTCAATCATTTCCAAACAAAATTTTTTTACATTTTTACCCATTTTTAGAAATACCCCAAATTCACATCCAAACCCCATAAAACATATATTTTCTTATAGTCCATAGTTAGGGGAACAACATATCGAAAACTCATGTGAATCGGTTCAGGGGTTCGGGAGTTAGCTGGAAGTCCCATTTCTGCCTGGCCGCACACGAGGCTTCTGCCCAGAATAGTACCATGAATTCAGCTGATGCGGCCAGTCTCTTTCGTGCATTATAAAATGTCGAACTACGGTTCACATAATCGTTTGTGCGTTTGATGGTCGTGTGCCGCTTCATTCGTATATAGTTTCTACTGCGTACTGCCTTCTTCGGATGGATTATCATGAATTTAAGTGGTCCTGGAAGTCTCAGCATTGTTCGGGAGATCGAGTTTCCAAAAATAGTTTCAGATACTCGACGACCAAATCCCGCTGGACACGTTCAACAAAACAAGATGGTCGCTGCCACGTGTTTGTGCATACGATGACGGCCACCTAGTGAACCACTTAGAACATTGGGGTTGGAGTTTGGCACAGAGTCAAATAAGTCAATTGTCGGCACACGACTGGCTTGGGTGGTCGAACGTTCAGTAAAATGTTCTGAAAACAAACCCATTGAGTTCAGTTTGTTCGGTTGAATTCTTATGCCGGGTGAAGGGCAACAAAATTATAAATCCAACAAACAGGGCATCTGTTACAGCATCAAACTGTATTTTTTCCCTTCTTTTGGATCAACAACAAAAACAGATGTGAGAAAAGTTGAACTTGATGGATGCAGGTCTTTTTTCAGCCTTTATAACTTTGTAACTTTGTAATAATCAATAGATACTTTATTTGTTTGCTTTGAAAGTAATTCCAGTTCTTCACTAAAAAATTAGCCACCAGGTGGCAGTAAAAACTGTGTTAATTGAATTAATCAGAAGAGTATTGCAGGGATGGTTGGCTAGGAAAAGTCTTTTCCTCAATTAAATTGAAAATAGAAGGGAAAGAGAAACAGATATGAGTGGTTCATAACAGATCAAAAGATGAGGAGAAAAAATATTGTTCTAGCTATACTTATATCCTCTTTACTGAATGATTTCCCTACACCTAAAGTAGGAACCTTTAGAGTGCATAAAAAAAGCTGCATTTGACCTCATAGCTACAAACTAGGTGGAATCTATCCATCAAAACTAGACTGGTGCAGAGCGGAAATATTCTATCAAAAAACTGTTTTTGTTGGTTACGTTTGCCTGACCTAATGACAATACAATATCAGACATTTTTACAATGCCAATTTTAAATTGGCAAAATTAGATGATACATCTATATTAAAACAATAAGTGAAAAAAACTTTTATAGTAATTGGTTTTAATCTCTTTTATTTTGCTATCTTGTAGTAATGAAAATGGGAAGCAACAGTCATTTGAAGTTGAAAAAAAGACTATTTATCCAAAATGATCTGTTACGAACTGGTATTACTGAAGCTTAAAGTTTCTGTCATAGAAACATAGAATGTGACGGCAGATAAGAACCATTCGGCCCATCTAGTCTGCCAAATTTTCTAAATACTTTCATTAGACCCTAGCCTTATCTTATAGTTAGGATAGCCTTATGCCTATCCCACACATGCTTAAACTCCTTTACCGTGTTAACCTCTACCACTTCAGCTGGAAGCTATTCCATGCATCCACTATCCTCTCAGTAAAGTAATACTTCCTGATATTATTTTTAAACCTTTGTCCCTCTAATTTAAGACTATGTCCTCTTGTTGTGGTAGTTTTTCTTCTTTTAAATATAGTCTCCTCCTTTGTGTCTCCACCAGTGTTCTGTACAATGGCATGAGCACTTCCCTATTTCTACTGCTAATACCTCTCCCTATACAACCAAGAATTCTCCTATCATTTCCAGCTGCTCTATTACATTGTCTTCCTACCTTTAAGTCATTTACACCCAAGGTGCATATCTTGCACTTATCCACATTAAATGTCAGTTGCCACAGGTCTGACCATTTTTCTAGTTTACCTAAATCATTTGCCATTTGGCTTATCCCTCCTGAAACATCAACACTGTTACATATCTTAGTATCATCAGCAAAAAGACATACCTTACCATCAAGACCTTCTGCCATATCACTAATAAAAATATTAAAGAGAATGGGTCCAAGTACAGATCCCTGAGGTACCCCACTGGTGACAAGTCCAAGCTTCGAATATATTCCATTAACTACAACCCTCTGTTGCCTGTCACTCAGCCACTGCCTTACCCATTCAACAATATTGGAATCCAAACTTAAAGATTGCAGTTTATTGATAAGCCTTCTATGTGCAACAGTGTCAAAAGCCTTACTGAAATCTAGGTAAGCAATGTCTACTGCACCACCCTGATCTATAATTTTAGTTACCCAATCAAAAAAATCAATAAGATTAGTTTGGCATGATCTCCCTGAAGTAAATACATGTTGTCTCTGATCTTGAAATCCATGTGTTTTTAGATGTTCAACAATCCTATCCTTTAACATGGTTTCCATCACTTGCCCCACTACTGAAGTAAGGCTTACTGGCCTATAGTTGCCCGATTAGTCCCTATTACCTTTCTTGTAAATGGACACAACATTCGCTAACTTACAATCTTCTGGGACTACTCCTGTTAACAATGATTGGTTAAATAAATCTGTTAATGGTTTTGCTAGTACACCACTAAGCTTTTTTAATAGCTTTGGGTGTATTCCATCAGGTCCCATTGACTTATTTGTCTTTACTTTTGACAGTTGAAATAGAACCTCTTCCTCTGTAAACTCACGTGTAATAAATGACTCATTTATCCTTTTTCTCAACTGAGGTCCCTTTCCTTCATTTTCATCTGTAAATACAGAACAAAAATATTCATTGAGGCAGTCAGCTAGACCTTTATCCTCTTCTACATACCTTCCTTCTTTTGTTTTTAATCAAACTAATCCTTGTTTTACTTTTCTTTTCTCATTTATGTATCTAAAAAATGTTTTATCCCCCTTTTTTACTGACTGTGCTATTTTCTCTTCTGTGTGTGATTTGGAAGCTCTTATAACTTGCTTAGCCTCTTTCTGCC